GCCGCTTTCCCTTTCCCTGTTTTCACAAGTATAGCATAAGTATAGCTTTTGGCAACTGAGTGTTCAGCCAAGGCTATTGCCCAAAACCAGTCCACTTGCATCGATGGAATGGCAGTCTTCGATGCTGCTGGCAAGTGTCCTGATGTTGACAAAACGGTATTTAGTGTTCAATTTCTTGTTTTTTTAGATCCCTGATTGATGGAATGGCCTTAAGCAGTCTGCAGTTGAAATTTATTTGGGTGTGGAGGGGATCGGCCACTGGCCTTGAACATAGGGGATCACTTTGATTGCAGCCGACTTTGGGGCTGCAGCGCTGAGAGCCACATCTGAATACTTCATTTTTTTCTTCATGTGAAGCAACTACCGTGAAGTTGCATGTTTCGTTCATACAACATGCAGCCAGCAAATGTCCCGTGTGTTTCCGTGTGTTTCATGCACCAACAGCTGCAAGTCCACTCAGTGCTACCGGCAACTCCACGGTTGTATTGATTGTGTCCGAGTTGCTGTAAATCGCATTTGAGGGAACGCTTATATAGATAGATGTTTGACAGAGTTGGAATCCAACACCCGAAGCAGCACGATCATGAAGTACGAGGGATGGTTTTGATAGGTAATTTTCGATGGAAGTTGAGACGATTTTGGTTGGATAAACTCTATTTGCCTCGACTTGACCTGGACCTTCGGGTTGGCCCTGGCAAGGCCGCACTAATCGAGGTTGAGTTTCGGTCATCGGCGTCATCAGCTGTTTAAAACGCGGTTTCCTTCCCGGTCATCAAGTCACCCGACGGTTTGATCCATGAGATGTTCACATTGAGAGCCAACGCGGCACCAGTGTGACCATTGTCGGTGTGGTCCGAGACTGCGAATGGCAGTCTTGCTCAGCCGTTCTGGTTGACAAGTTCAACAACAAAAAGGCTTTGGAATAGTTATATATACATATAGTATCATAGTACAATATAGTTACATGTTGCCTGATTTTAGCGTCGTGCATCCGCCTTGAAATTCCGATGGTTGGAATCGACATGTTGATCTTGAAAATATAGAATCATGCATCGAGAGATACTGAGATACGGAGATGCCGAGCCTCCTAGCCAGCTCCATGTTCGAGCCATTTCGAGTCAGCCGGACTGGTTTGGTTAAGTAAACCGACTTCGACCAGCCTGCACGACACCAATCCACATCTATCCACTGTGTGGTCGATGAATGGTCAGACTTAGGCATTGAGGAGCCATCTTCTTCGGAGCAGGAGGGCATGGAAGAGCCATTCACGAAGGGTTACCAGATCCCTTGCCTTGAGATTGGCATCGAGCAGCCAAAGGAGTCCAGCTGTGCATTGAAGGAGTCCAAGGGGGAAGAAATCCATGAGCAAGTCTCAGGCGGGTTTGGAGGATTTGTAATTCGGGATGTTACTTTTAATTCTGTGATCTAGCAGGCATGATTCCGGGAGTTTGGGGAGGTGCAAAGGCGAAGGGTCTTCGTGCAGTGTTCCCCTGCAGGTAGAGCACAGCACTGTCACTGGAGGGCAGACAAAACCTGCAGAGACTCAAGATCAACCGTTCAGGTTGAAAAAGAACAGTGTTGACTTCGCGGGTGCAATGCCTCACCTGAAATTTATGCTCAATTGACCGTCAGCGAGTCAGAATCACACATCCACGGGGTGTTCAGGCACCTACAGTAATGATGCACAGATGCACATATATGCAAATGTACAAGAAAAAGAACTTGTGCGCGGTAATGATGCAAGTGATATCTTTTGTAAGGAGTTAATACTTCCCCCAATTCCTAATATGGAATATGGTACCTGCAAACACCCTTTCACTCTTCTTGAGACAGTTCTTGAGACCAATTTGACAACTGGAGCTGTCCTGTACAGGTGCTGATCACGGGACTGGTTTACCCACGTCCCTTAGAAAGAGTCCCATATTGGTCAAAATGCTCACTTTGGGACACGTTCAACTCTGGCCCTGGGTTCCGTGGAAGTGTCCAAGGCCGTCTCTTTCTGGGCGAGGACCTGTTTTTGGTGTTCTTCCCACAGCTCGTGTGAGTGACAGAGGACCTTGATGTAAGGCTGACAGCTGGTCCCTCATGTTGACGTCTTTTCTGCCCAGATGAATAGTTTGAGTCAGGACTCGTCGCGGATTTAGGGTTTTACCAAACCCAACGCTTGCCGTCTCACCCTCGACGCAAGAAACCCTTGCACCCGGCAGCTGCGGATGCCAATCAGATGCCAACCGCTCGAGCGGTCCAAAAGATGCTGGATGGGTGCCGGGATAGCCAGTACCGAGTACCGAGAGGAACCCCTTGCGATCCGACCCCCCGTTTAGGTGGTCCATCCATAAGCTTCAACGAAGGTGCAGATCGAATGAAGGGTTAAGTGAAACCACATCCATAAAGCTTGGCAAAGCCAAAAAAATACTCTTGGGACCAACTCGCTGTTTCTTTGCGTCATGGATTTGGGATTCCGCTGAACAAAGCCAGCCCCAGCGCCATGCAAACGGCAAGGCCCCAAGGCCACATGTCGGTATTTTTCAGATGCCAACTAATATTAGCGAAACTATAGATATATATATATATTATTCTATATCAATATGTTATAATTAGTGATAGTAGATTGAAAGTTCCAGAGCATCCATTCCTTGAAGGCTGCCAGATCGTCTATATTTTATTTGGATATTGGGCTGCGGTTTCGTCAGACCGGCTATCCGGCTATCCATGGTTTACCCAAGGCACTTTGCAATGCTGTGCCTTGGCAAGAATGGGAAGAAGTCACACTTGGTCTCCAGATCTTTTGGACTTCCTTTGAAATGGAAATGTGACTACAGATCTTCGTGAGTTGCATAGCTAGCTGCTTCTTCGGGAGCGACGGCCGGAGTGGCGCCGGAGTGGCCCCGGAGTGGCCCTTAGCAGCCGGGTCACTCGGATCACTCGGAGCGACCAAGGAAGTTCCCTAAGCGACCTTGCTAGTTTGCTTGGTTGGTTCATCTCATAGCCTCAACATCAGGCTTGCCGAAGATGCACCAACTTCCGGGTTTGTTCAGGGGAAAAAAGCGGAACTGAAAATCCGACTTGCAGGTCCTCAGCGCTTGTGAGGCCGGGGCAGCTTGTGCAAGACTAGGGCTTGTGGAGCAGCAACTTCATGGCAACAGAGCATGAAAATGCATGAAAAAAAACACCCTGGAAGATCAACATGGACCCTGAAAACCACTGGGTGGTGGTGGTAGATGAGAATTGTTTGTCCCAGGGGTCCATTTTCACGGGCTGTCCATTTGGTCACTCCAAGAACGAACTTCTCAATATTTTCAAGAGCGCGTTTCAATGCGTTTCAGATGCAATCTTTTAAGCCAGCCCAGCCGCCCTTGATGCCGCCGCCAGTCGTACGCAGCAGGCGCATTGGCGCGCAGCATTGTGGATGTTCTATTGGTCGAGTTCCCAAATCCCCTTGGATTCTTGGCAGGGCCGTCCTAAAGCCTTCGCCCACCGGAGGGTAAAGGAGCACAGAAACCTAGGCGGTTCCACTTCTATGTCGCTTCCCGGGTGTGGTCATATCATTTTAGAACTCAGAACGACTGCTGATCCAGATCGTTTTCCAATTGGGACCGGCCGTTGCCTTTGGACTCACCGTCCGTTTCGTCCGCCGAACAGTGGACGAACGTGACGTGAAACCGAATGTTTGATGGAGGACCCCCGAATCAGTTGCGACATTGGGGCGATCTATAGTAGAACGACATAGAACGACGGGTTCTTTTCGGACGTACTGTCATCCCAATGGTGAGATATGGTGAGGAGGACGGTTGGAGTGAATAGCCTGAAGAACCGTCTTTTTAAGTCAAAAATGTCAATCCCAAAAGTCAAAGTCAATAAAAGTCAAATCAGTAAGTTTCGGAAAGTTAAAAAACAGTCAATTTGCACAGATCTGATGTTTTTCAACTTTTTGGACTTTGTTTGATGTTATATTGACTGTTTTCGACTTTTTTTTCACGGTTTCGAGACTTTGTTGACGTGTTTTTTCCGTATGTTTTGCTGTTTCGAGTTGTTGTTTTATTTTGCTTGTTTTTCTACTTGTTTGTGTTTTTTTACTTGTTGCTTTGACTTTTTCGAGCTGTGGTCTATGTTTGACTTTTTTGAATTGTTTTCTGTTTTTTGACTTTTCAATTTGACGTTTTTTGACTTTGACTTTTTTTGACTTTTTCGTTAAATCAAGGATTCTGGCCTTACCATATGAAAGATTCTTTTAAAACTACGTTGCATGTTTCTCTACGGATCTCAGTTCGTTGCCACGTCATGATATGGTAACAAGCTCTCCAGGTGGTATGCTGGCGGATCCCAGAGGCTGTAAGCAATTCGGAGTAAACACTTGTCATTGCTGCATTGTGGAACGTTATGTCGCCAAATCGTGCAAGGGCAGAAGAAGAGGCATTTGTAAACGTTCACCACGCTTTGCACCCCACCTTCCGGTGCGACCTGCATTAGCTTCAGGTTAGTGCAGCTAATCTGTCAGAGTGTACCTGTGGGACAGCTGTGAGACAGCTGGATCCCTGCACAGAGAAGGGGAGAGAGAGAGAGAGAGAGAAAAAAAAACACAATGTTACCATTCCATTCCCAGGTCCTCAAAAGTAGCGAGAGGAATGGTTGAAACCCAATGAGAGGGGAAAAACCCTAGCTAGCGAATTGGCTCAGAAAACATCAAGAGGCTCCAATCTGTGCACGTCGACCCCTGACCCCTACATATGCTGTAGCAATAGTATGGTGATGTATGGTGTGCATTTGTATGTATACTATAGTCTTACACTAGTCACTAGGCCCTTCAAATTACAGGCCTAACTGACCTCATCTCAAAAGGTCCATTGAAGGTCCTGGTGCTCACCGATGTTGATTCAGTTTTGACCCTCTTGAGCATGTCGGACCATCAGCCACATCATGCAATCCAGACAACCCTCCGATCTCGCATCCGGCCCGCGCTGTGTCTCCGAGGATCGGATCAGCTACAGCGCTGTCCTCAGCGGATTGGCTGCGGACCGAGGGAGGTTCGACCGGCCTTTTCGTCGGCACCGCGGACGACGGTCCGTCTGTTCGCCGAGTGGATGGGGCGTAGAGATCCAAATTCCACAGACATTTGGAGAGCTGCATGATGCATAGGGATGATCACAGCAGTCTTGACTGATGGCGATATGGAGAGAGAGAGAGATGGGACGATCCCAGAATCTGAGTCGAGTTTCTGGAGCAACTCACTGGACTACCATGTTTCTGTGTTCATCGGTGAGGGCAGCAACTTAGTTAGGTTGGGTAGAAGTCAGAACTGGGCATTGCTCAGCAATTTCCGCTAAAGAGACACCCAGACTTGAATCAGTTCAGATTAGTGCATGATGGCGGATGCTAAAGCCAAGATCATGTTCATCGCCCCCCTGTCGATGGGAGAGCGGCATATCGTGGCATATCCCTCTAGAAGTTTGACAGGACTAGGTGGGCATCTACCCACATTCGTGCACTGGAAACGTCTCGAGCGCAATTTCACATCCCACAGATGGCCTCGCTCCATGGGCCTCCTACGGCTGATGTCGCTTCGCCAGGCAGGAGTGAGCCCTGGGTCGTGATCAATTGGAGTTGTTGGCCATAGGATTGGCGATGAACATTCAGATATGTCTACTTGCTGGACCATTATTTACATTTATTTACAATGTATATAAGTAAATTATACAATCTTTGGGGCGGGGTAAAACGGCGTTTGCCTTTTTGGCTGTCACCGACCTCCTTCCACTTAGTAGTGCTGTTCTTGAAAATGTCTTAACTTAGGACCAGTGCGGTGTGATGGCTTCGTATTCCTTAGCTTCCAGACTGGAATTTTACTGCAGATGTCATCACAAGAAACTACTTGTGGAGTTTGCGCATGTTGAGGTGTTATATCATGGGTGGTGCAAGAACATAAACAATTACAGTCAGTCATCACAGTAGCAGTTAGTAGCCAATACGACTAAGTCGTGCACTTGTTTTTAGTTTTCCTCTCTTCGTTCACCAGGCCCTTGTTGCAGTGTGTCATTTGATCATATTTGATCATAGATCCATTCGATCTCACTACCTCTCTAACATAAATAGACGACCGGGCACCCCGTCCGCGATGTGCGCTCGCACGCCCGGGAAACACGCGCTCTCCCGTCCGCGATCGCACCTCTCCCGTCGTGATGCTCAGGTGGTGCCCGACGTGATCTGCCGCAACACCCTGCTCCACGCACTGGAACAGCGGCTCGTCCCGGAGGGAGTCCGGAGGGCGGAGGGCCGAGGCAGGATGGTCGAGGAGTAGTGGGGGGTCGGTCGGAGGTGGTGAAGATGAGGGAAGAGACCGGGTAGCCAGGTAGACTATAAAGAGTCAGGGAAGGCGGAGAAGATGAGGACGGTGAAGATCGGATTCTTGCAGGGGACAATTGGGACGACCCTGGGCAAGTAGCCGAAAGTGGATTCAGATCACAAAGATCCACCCTAGGTTTTGGGGTTGCATTTTGTCCGCAGGCATACCTGGAGTACAGGGCCTTGACTCGCTTCCAACACTGAAAGACCTAACTTGGAAATGGGAAAGGCCCTTGAGGAGTCCCTTGAGGCTTTGTAATAGCAGAGTGGTGTGGCTTGGGCCCAGGAGGGACATGTAGACGGTTTCCGTGGGGCGTCTAAAAAGGTCCGTGAGGAATGCGCACTGTGATGTTGTGCGTTTTTTTTGCCCAGCGCGATGTTGAGTGTAGTCGGATACGGAGAATCCCTTTGGCCATTCTTTTTTGTTGCCATCACCTTAAGTCATGTTTGATTCATCCTTCCTACCTCCTTGCACTCCATGGTTCCCAAATCCTACTGCAAAAGCGCTCAGGCGGGAATGGGCCATGGCATGGGCCATGGCGGGCCATGGCATCAGGCTTTCGGTCCTTTTGCATCACCGAGGACGGGAACTCATTGGCCTTTAGCGCTGCAAACCTTGCTGGAGACCCAGGCGATCCAGAAACCCAGCCACCTGGCGAATTCGTTCACTCTCCGCTTGCGACCGCGGAGGAGAGGCCCCAGGCAACCTTGCTCACGGTTAGTTCGGTAACAGGGCGATACTTCGGGAGATGGAGGTGTTTGCCATGTGTGTTATTGTTACGGATACATGTTTGGCGTTTCCATGTTATAAGTGTTAGATGTGTTTGAAGATGTCGAGAACCCTGTGCCTTTGCAAGGTGAGTTGCTTTTTTCAGGTCATGAACAAGCAGCCAGCCACCAGTGGACACGACCTGAGGAAAAAAGCCTCACAGACCGCCTGGTCTGTGAGATGCCTTGACAATATATAATTTGCATGCCTTGTTCTTGAAGGGCCTGTAGTAACGCCATTGGCACTAATTCCGGCTGCAAATGAATCATAGACTCAGACTATGACATATCAAAATGGTACGGAATGTGATGGCTGGAAAAATGCTGGGCGGACTACAGTAGGTTTGAAGCAGATCTACTGTAACTGACAGACGTCCTATTGTTGTGCGTTCATCCAGCCAAAGTATATCGTCAGCTGCGGGTGTCTTGAGGTGTCGTGACCTTCACTTCCAGCATGAATGCCTGCCACAAGGGAGGCTCAACTGGATGGATCATCGGTCAAGTTGGGCGGGCACTCCCTCGCTGAAATGGATTTGGTTGACCTGGTGTCGAGTCTCGTTCCATGCGGAAAAAAGATGACTCCTTTGCCAATTGCAAAGGATGATGTTTGAAGCAAGTCTGAAACTGCCCATTTTGGTGGCCCTCCTCCTCCAAGATTTCTTGCTTTTGGATCTTTTGGACTCTCAGAAAAAGTGAGATCCGAATATTTCCACGGCATCCACGGCGGGTTTTAGTGACGTCCCAGGAACTGCTTGGCCCTTGGCTGTGGCTCTGTCCTCCAACATGGTCCTCCCGAAGCGAGACCCGCGACGGGAGGACAACGTCATCAGTGACTTGGACGGAGGAAAGCGTCGGGTCGGCTTCGGAAGCCGGCCCGGAAGATCCTCCCGAAAAGTCACCCCCCTGAAGGGTTTGCCTGACAAGCAGCCCAGTAGTTTGAAGGGTTCATGTTCCTCTTCAAGCCAAAAAAATCAGCGGAAGCTGGTGAGCGAGAGGTGAAAGTCCACCGGGTGGTGTGGGTGAAACGGCTAAGCTGTATGCCTTTCATTTTTGTGACGTTCATACGTGGGATTTTTGTTGTCCATCGCAGGTTTGGGAAGAAACTCGTTGACGCGAATGTGGGTGGTTACAGTGTCCAGGATCCATGATTGCGAGACAGTAGATATGGTTCCCCAAGGGTTGCAATGATGGTGGGAACTCCACCGGAAAGAAACCAAACGTTCCTCCTCGCACAGTTGGACTGAGATGTTTTCAGAATTTTGCCTGCCAATGCGGCTTTTGAAAGGTACCAAAACATATTCTTGCCAACGCATCCGTCGTCGCAAGAAGTCCGCCGACATGGCTTTCGGGAGAAAGTGGGTTGTTCTCGCTGTCGGGGTCCGGACTTGGTCCGGAGCTGCTGTCTCATGGCACCCAATGACTCACGTCATTTCAGGGAGAAGAACGGATGCCAATGGATGCCAATGGGAGGGGTTTTAAGTCTATGATCCCCGTTGCTACCGGTTAGCTAAAGTCAGTGTGGTCGACCACGGAAAACCCATTTTATGTGACTCATTTAATTTACAGATGTTTAAGGGTATATAACTAAAATTGGTCTAAGATGGATGACACAGATAAACTCTTTGCACGGTTAAATTAGCCAGTCACGACAGAAAGTGGTTGTCTTTTTGCACTTTTTTTCAAGAATGAGATGTAAAGGTCTTTAATTCTTACCAGTCATTTTGGATGACCAGTTTTTAATACATTTGGGGGGTGAACCAGAGGGTCGGTCGCAACGGGGAGAGTCTATCTTTGGTCTTCCCAGAGGTCCTCTCCAGGAGGTAGCCGCTCAGCTGCTCAGCCATGGTCACCTCATGTCACACCAATGGTGAGACGAACGTGGGGTTCCCCTGTTTTTTCAGCATTTGGGCTTGATTGACACTTAGGGTGCCTCCTCAAAATGAATCAAAATTATACTGTATTACTGTAGATGCTTATTGAGCATGTTCACATCCTGGCCAACGTCGAGGCTTGAACTGCTTGTTGAGTGCCTGTGCACGCGGCAGCCATTGGAGGCCGATCACGCGGAGTACCATGGCTTTCTCACGTGCAGTACCATGGCTTTCAATTGTAGTTACATCATGGTAGTATAAATGTATTTACAGTACGTAATACTTGTAGATATAGATATGATGTAGATTATAGATCAACATATTGTAATTCATCTAATTACAAGTCAGGTCCCATTGGATTGTAATCAATAGTCAATTCAGATCTGTAATTAGATGAAATGATTGTCGACAATCAGATCCCAGATTCTCAATGGGTCTCCCAAGATGTTCACCACTAAAGTAAAATCACTAAAGTGAACGATGATGCGGATGATGCGTGTTGGTCAAAAGCGAGGTGCAAGTGTGTACACTCTATGCATTTGTTGGAGAAAGACAAGGGCACCCCATTCTCAAAAGTAATCCTCACTTGCACGAACGCTGTGGGATTCATTCATCTCCAAGGATCATGACTGTGGAAGGCCCTTACCCCGAACTCATTCTTGGACATCCTTACGTTTCAATGTGGAGTTGAGACGAGTTGTGCCTTCGTGGTTTCAGAGGTTCGATGGCGCAACCCCCCTAGTGGTCCGTGAGTGGACAGCCCTGGAGCGTTCCAGGGCTGTCCTGGAGCTGCCCTTGCTGGACGCCACTGGGGTGTCGGCGATGCTGGAGGCGACTCCTGGTTTCACCTAAGGCAACATGGCCTTCCTGTCAGATTTTAAGAGTGCATGTACAATCAGAGCCATCCATGAAAGTGGATGGCATGGTCCTTTGGATGACCATGATTCCATGATCAATTTTAGGGGGGTGTAATCAATCAGAGTTCACCAACACGGACCCTGAAACTTGGAACACGCATACTATTCCAACACGGGACCCTTCCGTGGGTGTCGCTTCCAACTCCATCCCTCCCTCCGCCGCGACCCTTCCGTGGGTGACGCTCTAGGGCCTGGGCGCAGCACAACAGTGGCAACTCGCGCTGAGGGGCCTGAGGTCATGGAAGGTGGCCGATGCGGTTTGCTTCAATGGAGCTCCTTGGGGCGCAGCGAGTGAGAGGAAGAAGTGCGCTTTTGCCATGGCGAAGCAAGGAGGGTGGGTCACCGGGTTGAGAATCGAACCTGTTTTGATTGGAGTGGTCGTTGGTGACGCCCAGTTGGTTGATATTGCTAGGGTACAAATCTGGTTCTATCTGGGGTGGTTTTGGATATCAACGAGCAACCAGCATTATGCGATGCACAGGCGTAAACGATGCGTTTGAAGCATGTCTCAAAGTGCACCCCACCGATTTGCCGAAGAGCTCTCACACCTGGTCCTTGGAATCCCGAATCTAGAGTGTGGGTCCAACACTCCCAAAAATGGTATGCCTCTACGGGCTTTGTCCATCGGTCTGGCCACATGATCATCCATCGCTACCCTGCCTGTGAAATTCTGCTGGGTTCTGCCCATCATGGGTCTTCAATCATCTTTGGGGTCAAGATGCCCAGGTCTTGAACATTTTGGAGACGGTGAAGCAGTGGCGGCTGTGTTCCCAGGTGGCGGCTGTGTTCCCGGTGATTCAAAGGCATGAGAGGCTAAGGTCAGACCTGACATGTTGGGCATGTTTAGACCTAGCACATGTTGCGCAGGTTTCCTGGCCCTGTGAAGAAGTGACATGGCGGGCAGGTGCTGAAAGACATGCAGGAGATCTCCATGAAGCTCAGTGTCTCCAGCTCCTGAGCTCGCGCAAACGTCAGTGAAGTGTCCGACAGCCATGGTCGTCAGCTTGGTGAAGGTTCGGCAGGATGGTCAACGGGAGACCTGCACCGGAACGTCGAATCCGAGAGGTGGGTGCCATCGGATGGGGTGTCGCATCCGAGATTCTCGATGAGACCTGCAGGGCCACCCAGAACACGGGCGCCCACGGCCCATGGCGCCCGGGGTTATCCGGGGTTCCTCCTTCCCGAAATGCTGGCGCGTGGCCGGGTTCTGGCGCCACATGGTTCAATTCGCATTCTGCAGGGGCAGCAGTTCAGCAGATCAATTCACCAGGTCTTCCTGGCCTTCGGGGTCTCCCCCGCAAAGAGAAGCGCCCGAGGCTTCGGGCCTTTGCTCACCGCCACGGCGCGCGTTCCGCCGGACTCACCGCGGTGTACGCTGCGTCGTGGCAGAGCTGCGACGGCGGAGGAGCTGCTGCTGGAGATGCGACGGCTGGAGGTGCAGTTGTCGCGACCCATGTGGAGCAAGTGCTGGAGAAAACCACTGAGAATCCACTGAGAAAGGATGAAAAAGGAACTTAGAATTTGGGTAAAAACACAGGTTTGACAAAGAATGCATATGTTTCTGGGGGCTTTGGGCCAAAGGGGCCACCAAAGTGCCAAATGATCCTTTTCGACTGTTGAGGATGTTGAGGGTTGATTCATGGTTTGGGGATTGATTTGAGTCAGGAGAATGAGAGTGTTTGATAGTTTTTGTATAGTTTTGGTGTGTTTGTGTGAAGCGGTTGCATTTAATATAAATTCATATGATTCATATACCACCTGCGGACGATGTGGTTGGAGCCCTAGGGAGGGAAAAAATAAAGTCTGTCGGCCCTGCATTCTGTTTCTCAGAAAAATTGATATGTTCTCTTCGGTCCTGTGCTGGGGGACGACATCGGTCACGCTGCGGCAGCGGACGTAGCCTGGCCGCATCAAGCTGATGGCACATCCCAGCACACGTCCTACACCTTGAATGACCAAAATAATTCCTGTGGGACTTGGCAGGACGGGACAGACAGTGTATACGTAGTGTTGGATGTATACTACACAGGACCAATATCAAATTTGGACAAATTTACTTTCTGATGCACAACACCTGCACTTACGATATTCCATCAACCTGGGCGGAGAGTATTCTGCGGCGAGTCCTACCCAGCTTCATTTATGTGCCTTGTATAAGTTGCATGCCACTTGCCTGTATCACATCATAAGTTTGTATCGAAGTGACGGACTCATACGTTTGAACCTGTCTCCGAATAAAGCAACACCTTTCATACTTGTGAACCTAGGTATACGGTGTACGGGGAAAATTCACCATTGGACAGGATTACAGGTATGCGCGTGCGCAATGCTTCGATGTGCGGGTAAACCATGGAAGATCATCAGACAAGCAGTAAATTCCGCAGGGTTTTAGGATGTTTTAGGTTTAGCCGTGTGGCTTTGTCATGTTGGTGGATATGTAGTAGGTTCCATACATCTCTACCGTCTCTATTTGTGACCCGCTGCATAAAAGAGCTGCTAGCTCAGCTAGCTGATCTCCATGCAGCGGAGTGATGGAAGTCTTTGCCGAATCCGGTCACACAGCGCCCAACAAAAACAACCGTTGAGTCCTTTTCTTTTGTGAGGCTTTCTTTGTTTTCGTGCCGAAGCTAGGCCTTTTCTCTGTTTTCGTGCGAAGGAGGCACTTCGTCACCTCGCAGACAGAGTTTCCGACATCGAACATCGAATGGCCAGATGTTGGTCGGGATTTGCCCAGATGGGCGTGGCATAAGACCATCAGTCGACGGTCTTCAAATCATTGGAGCAAGGACGCTAGGTACGCACGGTCGAGGCCATCGCTATTAGCTTGGAGGCCATCGATGCCCCTGGGCATGACTACTAGGAGCGATCGGACACTACTACTAGTAGATCTAGTAGTAGCTCCTGGCATCGCTACGTGGGCGGCCGGCTCGCAGCGTCCCCAGGTGCTGCCCGACGCCTTGGCCTTGAGCTTCGTGGCCACGTGGTCGGACCCGGAGTGCCCCGGACGACTCGCCGACGGCCGACGGCCGGCGGAGGTCGATGGGGAATCGAAACGACAGGAAACGAAAGAATGAAGCAAATGTTTTTTTTCAAGGGAAGGAGAATGGAACAACCTGCGGGTTTACTGTAATCGGTTGAAGTGTTGAAATTCACCAACAAGGTTTGTTGGCGACATTTGGTCCTATTCGATGTGTTACACAATGACACGGGGGGGCACTAGTGGGCTCAACAAGAGGTATCGGTCAGCAAAGATAAGCTGCACACAGCGACACCAAAACAAAGCTGACCGAAGCCTAAGCACATGTGAGATGAGATGAGGCCAGAAATGTGAAAACAAGGAGAAATGCATAGACTATCACAAAACATTGAGCAAAACAAAATGATCAGATGTTTCTTGCTTCTATAGATGTCATTGCTATGCTATGTCATTGCTTCTCCTGAGGTTCACAGTGCAACTCCTTCAAGACCTTGATACCTTGGCGCTGGATGCCACCCGACGCTTACCGTAGGCCAGAAGGGGGTCTGCCTGCGACCGAGCTGTGGAAGAAAGACACCAACTGGATGGCACCTGTCTGGTGGTGCAATGTTGTAGCGATTTCTGGGATCTGCTGAAGGCGATTTATGACCATTGGTTGAGCCGAGAGCAGATGCTCTCAATACTAAGGATCTGTGAGGTAGCGACTGGACGTCACTTACTGTTGGAGTAGGCAGCCCAAGAGAACGAAACTGTGATTTCTCTTGATGGATGGCACCCAACCCCAAGTGGTGCTTTCTGTCGATCTCCCTCCAGAGACACTCGTGCCATCCCACTGTTTCATCCACGAGTCGCCATCCCAGCTCCGGTCTCCCCATGCAGGTGCCTCCGGGACCTCCGCGGAAGAAGCTCCAGGTCTCGGAGATCAGATCAGGCCCCTTACTGGTGCGTTCGTTGGGTTGGCGGTCAAGAGGTATTGATTCACCACCTCTCGTAGGTGGTAGGTATGTGTTTCTTAATGTGTCATTAACTTACCTACAAGCCCCAAAAAGAAACCTATTCTCATGAGGTCAATGTTCCTATTGGGCAATGCTCAGTGAATGCTTGCTGATTGGTCCTGTGCTTGTCCCCATTGGCCTTAGCAGCAGCCAACGCGTTTGTCATTGTCCCCTTCATTTGACTGGTGTGACTTGGAGGGTGGCTGAGGGTGGCTGGATCCAAAGGAGTCCCTGGGAGCGTATTCCATCTTATTCTCCCCCACGTTCGTCGCACCGGTCTGTCATGGTTTCTTCCTCTTTCTGTAATGAGTCATGCTCGTACCATTCTAAGAGAGCAGAATCACGATGTTTTGCAGGTCAGACGGTCAGACCCGGTTGAAATAAGAAGAGCTGGACGGTCAGACCGGTCCATTCAAGTAGAGGCCTCTTGTGGTTGAAATTTGCCACCACCGCCTTGCTAGTTGTCCAATGAATTCATGCAAACTTCCACTGGCTCATAGGAAAGGAAATCAACCAATACGTGTTCCCGTCCTTATCAATCAACCCTCCAAGTCTTGAAAGAACTTGGCAAGTAGGACCATTTGGCAAATCCCCATTACAAGAATACAAGACACTGACCATGTGAAGCTCAGAAAGGCTAGATCCGTCGTCGTTGGCCCGCCACGCATCACCCGGGTTCCCCCGCGCAGCTTCCTCTGGCATTCTGGCGGACCGCAGCGGAGAGACGTGGGACCGTAGGACGGACTGACGCAGGACTGAAGTGCTTGGAAGACATGTCAGACACAGAATCAACGGTGTTTTGTTTTAGAAAACACCATGGGTTTGGGTTTCACCCGAGGAAGATCGGAAGCACACGTCCTTTTTCTATTTATGTTTTTTGGGGTGGCCAAAAGGATGCGAACGGAATTCTTGACGCTGCCTGCTTTGACCTTCAATCGTTGGGGGTTAGATTCCGTTTTGTTTGTGTTTCCTCTATTGGCAGTGGTTGGTCTATTTGCAGATGCTGATGGGATGGGGCTCTACTTACATGAAACCTGGGCCAGCGCCATTCATGGCTGCACTTGTCGGGTGTTGTTGGTGCTATAGGCTGATTGCTAGCTTGTTAGGCTAGTTGAGTACGCTGTACACCCGAATCTTCAAGAACGATGTCAGACCGTTGGATGAAAATGCGCGAAACACCTCACCTCCTGTCCTTCCGCAGTCACGGCTGAAGGTCGCCGCTTTGGCCGGGGGTCGGCCGCCTCTCTCGTGTCCATGGCGAACCTTGCTCCCAAATTGTTGGTCTTCTTTGGAGATAGCCATGTGGAGGGTGGCGACTTGGGCTATGGCTTGGTTGGCTCCTTGGGCACTTTTGACCCTGACTACCCTTCCGAAGCGATGGTGGAGCCACTGCAACGACTGCTGAAAGACTATGGCTCGGCCTATCCCTTCAAAGAGTTGGGCTGGTATCAGGGTTGCTTCTCCGATGGTTTATCTTGGCCACATTTGCTTGGGGAGTGGCTGGGGTTAGAGGTGATGAACTTTAGCCATTCTGGAGCGACGACCTGCCAATCCATCGCGGTGCCTCCTGGCTATGTTGGCATCTCAAGCAGTATGGGATTGGACGGATATATATTTTGGCCCAGAGGTGTTGCACAACAGATTCGGCAGGCAAGTCGTGTCCTGGCAACAGAGCAGTGGCAAGATCCTGATACTTTGGTGATTGTGGGATCTGTGGGAAATGACGTGGTCTACAGCGGTGCAGCAGCAATAGGTTCCACGCTGGAGGAGGCGGCTGCAAGTCCATACATTTCCAATTGCAAGCAAATCGTTTCGGACCTCGTGGCCTTGGGAGTGAATAGAGAGAGAATCATCCTGACTGGCTTGCAGGGTTTGGAGTGCCTTCCTGGCATACAGTCCATGGACTTTGATCTGGAGTGGTTGTGTCATCAACAAGATGCCATCAATGAGGTGGGGATGGGCACATGGAATTTGTGACACTTGTCACTCCCAGCTCTCACGCGTTCCCTCAGCTCTCAAGCGCCGGATCGACCTCCACCCGGGCTGGGAAACGGAGAACAACGAATTGACGGTAGAGCTACTACCCATGGGACAAACTGGGGACCCAGACTGATTTGCTACCCATCGATGTCACAAGATTGTCACGAATTGTTGAGGACTGCCAGGGCCAAGGAAATCCTTTATACTGTATATGTTTTACATAATGTGTTTCGTAATGTTTTAGGTGAGTGAATGGGTGAGAAGTGGGACTTGCTGCCGGGTGCCTTTGCAGGTCATTGATGCCTTGGTACCTTTGCCCCGATGGACGCAAGAGAAGGTGGGCAGGGTCCTAAAGGGAATGGGGAAGAGGACAGGATTCAGCATTCATAAAGCAAACATGATTATGATGCGGGCGTGTCTCAAGTAATTAGACCCAGGACCTGCAGGTCTTGGTCCATGTCCTTGATATACTCAACTTCCCCCTCCTTTTGCTGAGGGGAATTTGATGGAATTGGGATGGCATTGAATTCTGAGCTGCTGCCATGCTGCTACGGCCACCAGCTGATGCAGACCCCCACATAAAACGGCCAGTCCGCCACCAGCTGGTCGGAGGCCGGTTCCGGTTCCGGCCGGTTCCGGATGCCATCAGGTCTTTCGAAGCATGTCCAGGAAGCACAGCGCGCGGGTGAAGCGTTGTCTTTATGAGCTGATGCCCTTCACCCCAGAGGAGCTGCCGGAAAAGGCCAGGTTGGCGCAATTGTCAGCGGCAGATGGGGCAGCCATTTGGTTCGATGAGCATCTTGAAGGTTGCAAGAAAGGCGTTTTTTGCCGCATAAGTGTAGCAACAGACGGCTACGATTGCTCCAGGTTGGTAAACGTCTTCATGTTCAAGATGTGTTTTTTTCTTTGGCATCGTTTGCAAGTGTGGTGTTGTTTCTATGTTGCATGTTTTACAATCCTTGAGTCCTTGAGTTTTCAGAGTTTGGATTATGATGTAGCGGACCTGAGAACGTTTGCCTTTGTCTTGTGGACAAGCGAGGTATCATCCCAGTTCTATGTTGCACCATGAACTTGCCAATGCCTTTGCTGAGCAGTTTCTTCGTCCTCGGAGGGTGGATGAGTTGGCAAGGGCCATCGCTTCCGCCAGTGAAGAGGGCGATCGCGGCGAAAAACTGTGATCGCACCGTGTCGAGAAAAAGGGCCACGGCTTGGGAAGGGTTCTTCAAGACAGCCAATAGTCCTTGTCCGTATATGTCCATATGAGGGCAACATGCCTGAGCCATTCCGATCGTGTTTAGTTGCCTTGACTGCTGTTTCACCAGCCTTCCGTACTCATTCCCAAAGTGGATCAACAACCAAGAGGTGGCTATGATAATCATATGGCAGTTTTGGGCCTGGTGCGCTCGTGACGACACATGACCTTTGTCAGGACCTGTGCCGCCAATCCTCGTCCATTGGAGGACGAGAACCTTGCGAGCATTGGGCATCCAGGAGCTGGATGATCCACACTTGGGAGACTCTTGCCGTATCCAACATTCCCAGGGTCCCAGAGCATCATGTCTTACCTCCCTCGATTTGTTCAAGTTAAGTTGGTTGTCACTCTGCAAAAAGTGCAAAGCATCAAAGATGCATGCGCTGGTCATTTTTAATGTAAGAGTCATAATCGTAAATCGTGAAAGGTTGCGGGGCAAAAGTGTGAGTTTCGTGCCCCAAGACTGGCACATGTATGTCGCCAGCAGTTTGCAGCCATCTTGGCCTCTCAGCACTTGGCAATTTTGTTTTGATTAGTTTGAATGACATGTGTGGCGCGACTCATTCTTGCGCTGATTGTGCCAGCCTCGAGCTGTGGATCTCTTTGCAACCTCTCAGAGAGTGACGCGGAAGGTTTGGTGCAGATTCATGCCAAAAGGCTTGTGGATGACCCGTACTCGCAACGTGATCGGTTGCACCGACGCCACCGTTGCTTGGACGCCACGTGAGTGATCGTCAGTGGAATCCACGAAGTGGTCGATGGTTTCAGAGGAAAATCTTCGATTCCGAGCGCGATGGTTGTTTTACCTGTTTTCCTTTAACAGATTTGTGTTGATATGTTCTGATCTTCTACTCAACACTATTTTTTGTGTTCCTGTTGCTTCTTTGCGCGCTGTGTTTCCATGCTAAGGCCCTGAGCTACAGACGCCGTTGCATGAGGGAATGAGGGTGGAAGTAGAACATCAGAAAGTAGAGGTGGTACGGCTTGTGCGCGCATCCAGTCGTGTACAGATGCCATAGGTGTCCATTTGCTTGCTGGAGCTAAGATTCGTCAATAACTGGACTTAGAGTGGATTTCACATGCCTGGAATCCAGGTCGACAGCAACGTCGGCAACATCGGAGGTATCGACGATGGACAACGACCACCACGACCACTTTGTTGCCGGATGTGATCACTTTGATGAAGGAATTGGAGACCTCACGAGGCCATCGGTGTGTTGAGTTGCTTGTTGATGTGATGCTTGCTGTTTGGGGCCCTTGAGGTTTTTTTGAAGGGCAAGATGTGCAGTTGGATCATTTGGGAAG